CACACACACACACACACACACACACACACACACACACACACACACACACTAAAACACAAACAGATTCTAAACAAGGCCTCACACCTAACATGCATTGTCTCACCTAAAATGTCACCTCTTTTTTACACTGATAAAACCTTTATTTCTCTCAGGGCAGTGACTTGAAAGGAATTCGGGGATTTATGTATGCATATTAATCGATTTAAAACTTCTAACAGAATAGATATTTAACAGCATCTTAGGTTTGTTTAGTACATCCTCGTCAGTCGTGTGACCCTTTGATCTTTTACTTGTAAAATCTCTGTCTGATACTACCTCTCTCACTAACACCTGAAGGAGGAACGAGACTCCAAAAGCTTGTGTTTTCAAATAAATCTGTTGGACTATAACCTGTTGTGGTGTGATATCTGACCTTGTCCACCCCAGCCCAACACTGGCACCTCTGTATTGAGAATACTTACTAGTACTAAGTTAGTGTATTTCATCAATAGAAATATTTTAATTGCACTTTGATTGTTAATTTATTTGTTGAGATGTTATCCTTTCTTAATGAGAAATTTATTTGTGCTTGACATTAATATATACCACATCTGCATTTTGCCATGCAAAAGCCCAGTGCCTTTTGAATGTTGCTGACATGTGTGTTCATGCAGAAGTTTGAACCATCCAGGGAACCATTTAAACTTGTCAAAGTATCTCACGGAAAAGTAACTGTTCAGATGCTAAACAGAATTCTACCCTTGTTAAACACAGATCAGCCATGACTTAGAGTTTGAGGGAAGAATGAGAGAGTGCAAATATCAGGAAAAAAAACACTGATGCATTCATCTGTTCCCATCTGCAATACTAATATAAAATATCCAACTAGAAGTTTGTCTCAATAAAGTTTATATACATTTTGCTGTATTTACTTCTTTCCAGAGCAGATGTACACATTAGTATGAGAGGACAATTCAGCACTTTGTGCATTAATTGTAAGAGTGTGTCATTTTAAGAGGATGCTTCCAGACAGAATATCAAATTAAAATTAGAAAGGGGTTCATGTAGCTTGTGCATTTCATTCCTGCAAAATTTGACCATTAATCTTTACGTAAAGTATCCAGAACTTGGAAATCTTTTATGCAGAAATGTTTGTTTTTAAAGGAAATTGTATTTTGTTTGCTTTATTACAGGAAAAAGCTACCCTGTTTATGGAGTTCAGTGGCATCCTGAGAAAAATTCTTTTGAGTGGACCAGAAAGGGGAAGATCCCACATACTCCTCATGCTGTTGAAGTTGGATGGTACATGGCTAACTTTTTCGTTAATGAAGGTATGGACAATGAAAGAAAATAGCTTTTGACCTTTTTTCTCAGTGCAAATATTTAGTTTTGCATTCATTGATTATCAAAATGATTTATAACAATTGAAGTGCATTTGTAGAACCATTGAAAATGATCTTGTGCGTTTAATAGCTGACCAGTACAGCATTTCAGTGGCTTTAAACCAATGGCTGAATAACTACATCACAAATTTGATCACAAATTACACGTCCATAACAACAGAGTCAACTTGGCCAGAAAACCCCATCAGAAATAGTCACCTTGAATGGGCATTGATGGACGATCTTCCAACCCATTCACTAATCGTCCAATCTCTGGGCCAAATGTAATCACTTCAGACAATGAACTTTGGCTGAGAAAGCAATGTATCCAACCACAATGTAATGTAAACCATGGACCCGAAATCCACTAGCCGCAACCAGTTTGGGTATGTAGGAACATAGGAACCGCAGTAGGCCATTCAGCCCCTTGAGCCTGGTCTGCCAGGTAATGACAGAAGTCACACAACACCAGGTTATAGTCCAACAGAGTTATTTGAAATCATAAGCTTTTGGAACGCTGCCCCTTTGTCAGATGAAGGGGTAGTGCTTGAAACAAGAGGATCCAGTAATAAGCCAGCTGATCCTCTTTTCTGTTTAAGAAATTGCTTTTCTGCAGGCTACAGAAGAGATGCTGAAGAAACAGGAACCTCGAGTAGGCCCCTTTCTGTTCAGTTGGCAAATTCTAGCACTGAGCGCTGTTTGGCCAGAAAGATGCTGTGGGCAGTGTTTTATGAATCTATTCAGAAGCTGTTGACTGTTAGTTTAAGAATTGTTATAGATTGTCTATCAACATTTTAAATTGTCTCGCTGTCATATCCAGAGAAATCATTAGGTTCAGCCTTTGACCCTCGAAAATATCAGTCTACCATTCTGTATATTTTTTATTGGACGTTAAAATGTCTGCTTGTGTATGTGAACATTGGAGAGTTTCTATTATTTTTGTTGGATTGAATTAAATATAACAAGAAATGCTCCTTTTTTTTGTTAAGTCTTCCAAAGAGAGAGGTAGTGACTCTGGAACAGGCTGCCAGAGGTGGTGGTAGAAGTGAATACAGTTTTGTCATTTACTAAACATTTAGACAGATACATGGATGAGATAGGTATGGAGGGATATAGACCAAATGCAGGCAAAAAGGACTAGTTTCAATTGTGAAAACTTGTGTGGCATGGGTAAGTTGGGCCGAAGGGCCTGTTTCCATTCTGTAGACCTCTATGACTCTATGAAACCAATTTCTGTGTTTCTTTCAAAAAGACAGCACAGAAACATTTAAACATTCACTGAATTGGAAAAATGTTTTCTTTCAAAACAAAACCTGTTGAGATCAAACAAAGGGCCTGTCCCTGTGCTGGATTGAATTGTGTTGCAGAAAGAGTGGAGAAATGGGGGAGTTATTTTATTCCCCCTCACCCGGTCATAACAGAAATTTGGGGATTTCATCCATGATCAGACCTAAAGACAAATGAGAAATTGGAATCAGGAAATCAAATTGATTTGATTTGATTTATTACTGTCACATGTACTGAGGTGCAGTTGAAAAGTGCTGTCTTACATGCTTTACAGGCAGATCATATTATACAGGTGCATCCGTGTAACAGAACAGAGTGCAGGATACAGTGTTACAGCCGCTGAGAAGGTGCAGAGAGAAATCAATATTAACATTAAAAAGGTCTGTTCAAAAGTCTGATAATAGTGGGGAAGGAGATGTTCTTGAATATGCTCGTATGTATATGTATACAAACTTTCATATCTTCCTGACAGAAAAGGGTGGAAGAGAACATTACCAAGGTGGGAGGGGTCCTTAATTATGTTGGTTGCTTTCCTGAGGCAGTGGGAAGTATAGATGGAGTCAATGGATGGAAGACTGGTTTGTGTGATGGACTGGGCTGTGTTCACAATTCTTTGTAGTTTCTTCAGGTCTTGGGCAGAGCAGTTGCCAAACCACGCTGTGATGTATCCAGATAGGATGCTTTCTAAGGTGCATTTTTTTCAAAACTCTTATGTCCAGATTTTCTTGTCGTTTACAGTACTAGGATACTTAATATATCCACATTCACGGCTAGTGCCTTCCTACAGCAGGGTGAATTAACTTGGGACAGTTTAAAGCACTGGAAGTTGAAGAACCATGGACTGCAACAAGGCTTTTAGACCTAAGGGTCCATCTAAAGAAAAAGAAAGCCAATATCCCAAAGTTTACACCAACCATTTTCCAATTAACTCTGAAGAATAGAAGGCAGATCTGGAATCTGAAATGTACAGGCTAGCATTAGCAAAGAGAGAGTTGGAGCATCTGAGATTAAAATTCCAAACTAAGAAAAAGGGAAAAGAAAATTCCAAGAAAAGGCAATTCAGGGAGGAGAGAGAATTCCAGGAAAGGGATAGACAGAGTTTTCTGAAGGTAAATGAAACAGGAAAGGGAGCTGAGGCAGCTTGATGGGAGTAGGGAGAGGTCAGATATATCCAGTGAAGACAAAAGTAGAGAAAGAACAAGAATTTGCTGGAAAAGCTCAGTGGGTCTGGCAGCATCTGTGGGCAGAAATAAGAGTTAACGTTTCAGGTTGAGGGACCCCTCCTCAGAACTCAACCCAGGCTATCTCAGGGCTGAGTGCTAAGCTATTCATGTACACACAGTTGGTATACAGGTTCAATGAGAAAGGTGTGCAAGAAAATTTTAGAGCCATTTGAAAAGGCTGCCATGAGTCAGTGGAAGTTTGGACCCTTCTACCACAAAGGGGAACCTCGGGAGGTTTGTTTAGAACTTAGAATTAGGTTTTATTGTCATAGGTACTCAAGTACAGGACTACAGCGGTTCCATCTTAGGTACAAAGTACCTCGTTACAAATGTTGGATACAAAAATCGGAATAGAGTTGTATTACCTAACAGTGATTCATAGCATAAGTTAGAAATAAGACATTGTTAAAAGGATAACATCACAGTCAGATAAACTGATCACAGATAAACATTACATTGTAGTAGATCAGCAGGGTCTTCCACATGTGGTCTGACCGGCTTTGCAAGGCGCAGACAGCTCGCACCGGAACCCAGTCTGACAACTGTCCCCACTCCACTCCTGCTTTCTGCTGCTCCAGGCCTCCCATCGTTTAAAATACTGAACAAGACCTTTTCTCATTGTCCAACATGAGTTATTCAAACTGTGAGATGACTAGGAATGCTATCCTGATCGGATATGAGCTGGAGACAGAGGCTTAGCACTAAAAATTCTGAATTTCACAGAAACAGTCCAAAACTAACTTGATCAATTAGGGAAAGGCGATCGTATGACAAGCCAACTAACCCTCGCCTGTTTAAGAATTTGCTTTCAAAGGAGAAGCTTGCTCTCAAATTGACCATAAACATATCTAAATCATCTCAATGCGGAATCTAGAGGGAAACCTTCTAAGCATGAAACCTTCTAAGTCATCAGCCTACATGCCCTGGATACTTTTAACTTTTGTTGAACTCTTAAAAAGACTGCTCAATCTATTCTCGTTGACAACTTGTATTTGTGTGAGAGTGTGGATTGTGAGTGCACATGCGTATAAAAGCTGCAGCATTTTTATGAGACTGCATTAAGCACAATAAATACTGCTTATTTTTTTCAAGGTTTAAAAGGAAACCTGTCTGTATGCCTCTAATTGTCACAACACGTGAAACACACAGTAAATTAGCAAGCATATCCTTTTTTAAAAAAAAAAAAAAAATACCTGTGGCAGTCAAATGAGGAGCAGGGGAAGCAGGGAGCTAGCCATTCACAGTTTCCCCACCCGGTCAAGACAAACCCGCTCAGTGGCAGTTTTCGGAGTTGGAATTTCACTTGAAGGATCTTTGCGTGTACCTTGCTACAGTTAAGGAGTTAAGCTTTCCTGAGTTGATAAATGTAATTCTATCTATCTGCCCTCAAAAAATGGCAATCTTCACATTATGAACAATTGCAGAGAGGACAAAATTTTACATGCGAACACCTGTTGAAACCTTAAATCCCTCCTTATAGCCCCCTCCAAACTCTCCACTTTAAACAAGGTACAAGTATAACCTTTCATCGGAACTTTCAGCAGTTCTGATGAAAAGTCAGCAGACTCAAAACGTTAATTCTGTGTTTCTTTCTCTACAAATGCTGCTGGACCTGCCGAGTTTCTCCAGTAATTTCTGTTTTTGTTTCAGATTTCCAGCATCCTCAGTTCTTTGTTTTATAAAAATGGAATTTTGTTAGAAACTGAACATAGAAAATTATTGTTGTCCCAGTCACAACTTTTTTCTCCCATTAGTCTATTGAAAATTACTGTATAATTATGGCTTCCTGGTGCCCGGCATCTGTGAATCTGTTGATCCAGCTTTGCCTAGCCATTTACCTCTTACCCACATGACTGAAGTAGTTTCCTGTATTAATTAACTGTTTCATTTTCTACATTTCTCTGTTTTCATTTCATAGCAACAGGTCTCAAAAATCAGTATTGGAATTCTTTCAAAGCTTATAATGCAATTATTTTCTTCTTTCTCAGCTCGCAAGAATTGGCATCATTTTTCTGATAAAGCAGAAGAAGAAAATGCTTTGATTTACAACTATGCGCCAGTTTACACAGGGAACATTTCTGGCTTCCAGCAAATTTATATAATCTAAGGTACCCGCTTCAGTTAGAGTTGGGCTCTAGCAAACCAAATGGGCAGTTTGGTGTCTTTGTGAGGAGCATTGTATTTTCGTGCACAATGCATATGATTTTTCAATCACTTAGAAATTAAATTTTAAATGTTAAATGTAACCGCTAGATTTGATCTGACAGGTGTACTTTTTACATTCAGGCAGTTCTGGTAACTGTAGCCATAATTGCGATTAGTTGATTGCCACTGGCTGCAGAACAATGTCAAGATAAACTTACTGCGTTTTGTGAGATCCATTTGTTAGTGAGCCTTCCTGTTATTGGCTAATAATCCAGAACCCAATAATGTTCTGGGGACCCAGGTTCAAATCCCACCATGGCAGCTGGTGAAATATGAATTCAGTAAAAATCTGGAATAAAGAGAGCTGGTTTAATGGCAACCACATAACCACTGTCTATTATCATTTTTAAAAAAAAGACAATCTGATTCAATTAACGTGCTTTAGGGAAGGAAATTTGCCGTCCCTACCTTTATCTGATTTACATGTGACTCCAGACCCACAGCAATGTGGTTGACTTTTAACTGCCCTCTGGGCAATTAGGGATGGGCAATAAATGCTGACCTAGCCAATGATATCCTCATCCCATGAATGATTACATAAAAAAAGAGATACTTCTGATCTAACTTCAGAAAAAGGATTTACCATCTGTGTGCCCCTGACTCTTATTGCCATCAGGATGGACATAGCTAGCATAAGTCCCAAGACTGACTTTTTTAAAGTTGCCTAAATTTAAAGTCACAAGCATTCCTTTGTGGTGCAAGCTACACATTAGTAAGCCTCTGAGCCTGCTTTAAGAATGAGACTGATTGATTGACAAGCTTTTTTTTTGAGGTTATAGTGAATATCTTGCAAAGACTGGAGGAGAACAGCACACTTCCAATATTACTGCAGTGAAATTTGCTATAGACCTTTTTTTAACCTCTTTGTAGAATTCCCTGCCTTTTCCAGTGAAGCACAAAAGTAAAGGGGCTAATGCTGGACATCACTTTTCACAAGGATAGTATGATTGATATTACAACAGCTTTTTCAACCTAATAAGGAAAAGTTACAAAACAATCATTTTCTCCAATGAAAACTGAATGTAATTATATTGTTGACTACTAAAGAAATTAACAGCTTTGTATTAATTCTCAATAAAGTATTTTTAAAACAGGCTGTCTCCTGTGAAATCAGTGCAACAGTTTACATATAAAGTATTAACTTTGTCTGGTCATATTGAATTTTTTTCAACTAATGAGTCTGGCCTTTTGACTTTTGGTTAAATACATTTTTACTAATGCACACTGCACAGGTTTAAGAGGACAGGGATTTGTGCTTTTCAGAAGAATCACAATCATTGCAAGTTATGCTGTGGTTCACTCTGAGGAAAGGCAGAACCTCAGAATTGTTATGATGGAGATGGAGGCCATATGGCCCATCATGTTTACACTAACATTCAAAATACATTTTTCAGGCAATGTTCAGTGGATCTTGGAAATTTTACACTTTTTTTTTCAGTCTCTCAAAGTATTTATTAAATGAATTATTCAAATTCAGTAAGCAGTTGGTACAATATTTATCCCATTGTTTTTGACCTATCATAAGATGTTCCTTTCTTAATTGAATGAGAAATGGGAGGACAATTTTGCATTTTATAGGTTACTGTGTGTGTGTGTTTTTAACAAAGAAAAATACACCTCAAACTAGATGCAGACTAGCTTAAAATTCTATTCATATAAACTAATTTTAGAAATGAAGGTGGAGAAAAGAAGAAATGCTTACAATTCACATGTAATCCAATGTACAATTTAATCATTTTGAACACCACAAAATATTTACCATCAATACTTTTTTTAAACATGGAACCCAGGAGAATGGACTTGCTAGATAAGTAAATATTGTTTACATTGTATTTCTATCAGTAACACACTCAATACACCAGAATGTGCTTATGTATACAAGATTATTCTTTAAAAAGTTACACAAAATGTGCTTTATTCATAAGGTTAACACAAGAAATCCAGTATTCAAAGGCTATCATCAGTGCACATATAACTGCTGCATTAGTAACACTACACATTTGTAATCAGTAGAAACATAGCAGTTTCAAAGACCTTTTGAAACAACAGGAACTCCAGCCCATAACTGACCACTATTCCTCCTGCCATTCGAAAACCATTGTTCTACATGATGGAGTCTAATTTAGATAAATGTGAGGTGTTGCATTTTGGAGAAAGCAAATCAGGGCAGGGCTTATACACTTAATAGTATGGTCCTGGGGAGTGTTGCTGAACAAAGAGACCCTTGGAGCACAGGTTCATAGTTCCTTGAAAGTGAAGTCGCAGATAGATAGAATAGTGAAGGTGGCGTTTGGTATGCTTGCTTTTATTGTTCAGTGCATTGAGTATAAGAGTTGGGAGCTCATGTTGTGGCTGTACAGCACGTTGGTTAGTCCACTTTTGGAATACTGCATGCAATCCTGGTCTCCCTGCTATAGGAAGGATATTGTGAAACTTGAAAAGGGTTCAGAAAAGATTTACAACGATGTTACCAGGTTTGGAGAGTTTGAACTATAGGGAAAGGCTGAATAGGCTGGGGCTATTTTCCCTGGAGCGTTGGATGCTAAGGGGTGATCTTAGAGAGGTTTATAAATTCATTAGGGTATTGATAGGGTGAATGGACAGGGTCTTTTCCCCGGGGTGGGAGAGTCCAAAACTAGGGGGCATAAGTTTAAGGTGAGAGGGGAAAGATTTAAAAGGGACCTAAGGGGCAGCTTTTTCACGTAGAGGGTGATGTGTGTATGGAAAGAGCTGCCAGAGGAAGTGGTGGAGGCTGGTACAATTACAACATTTAAAAGACATCTGGATGAGTACATGAATAGGAAGGGTTTAGAGGGATATGGGCCAAATGCTAGCAAATAGGACTAGATTTATTTAGGATATCTGATCGGCATGGATGAGTTGAACCGAAGGGTCTGTTTCTGTGTTGTACATCCCAATGACTCTGACTGTGAAAACAAGTTTGTCAAGCAGTTGCAACGTTTGATTTTGACATTAATAGAGTGGAAAGTGATAATGCTAAAAGTTGGGCATTCAGCTCTGTCAGCAGAGTTTCAGGAAAGTTGTTAGTTTGGGCACTGTATTCCTGTGCCATCTGTGTTGGGGAGGGGCTGTGCCCGTGCTGACAAAAGACCAATCTGAGCAGCTTCCTGCTGCACCACGGCTGCAAAGTTATCAGCAACTTCTTTCTTTACCTGACAACAAGCTACTGCTTCAGGCGTTGGTCTTCTCCGGGATCGATCACTTTCGCTTGGAATTGTTTCAAATCCCTTCAGAATGCCTCGAGACTACATGTGCTAACTCTGAGTGAATGAGAGTTCCTTGTGAAGAGATATGGGAATGAATTCAGAAGTTTGGGAATTTCTCATGATCTGGAGGTTGGGGATAATCCATTCATTACATCTCCCGTTGCCAGGAAATGGCTGGGCTTACAAAAAGGGATGAAATCCTGGAATTGCTGGACTGATATCAGCCATAGAGAGGGGTCTTGGGCTGTCTGATCTTGATCATGATAAGAAATTTGGTGCTTGGGAGTTGCTAGCCTGTTTTGTTGGAGATATGCTTCCTGGTACATTAGGAAGTAAAGCTTCTCTTGAGAAAGTATTTCCAGAAAATATGTTTAGATTAAACTTAGATTTCTTTCCATCTTTGCAAAATGTATACAAAGTTCAACATCAGAAAATTCTGTTCATCTAAATTTCATATTCTGAATAAAATGCACCATCATTTTAGAATTTTGTATACAACAAATACGTATCACTGGTTCAGAGTTTAAACTTGAAATTGTTTGAATAGTCACTAAATGGGTTAGTCCCTCTCCCCCATTCTCCATAGATCAGACTGGACATTATGGTTAAGGTAAGTGGGCATTTATTTAACACCCACCCTGTTACAATAGCAGACAGAAAGCCTCATCCTTGTACATGAATTGTCCATTTGCTAATTTCATCAAAAGTAATTTCTAGACTTTAATATCCATATTATTGAATGCCCTCTTCAAACTGATTCGTTAGCCTAGACATTTAATTGGATTGTGTCTGTTGTATCGTGTAAGATGATACCTAAGGAATATGGAATAATGTGTTCAAGTATCTCATTCTTTAGAGATGAACTCCGCTAGAAAATCATGACACAGTCATCAAGGAGTGCTACTTAAAGGGTTCATTGATCTCATAACGGTTACTTGTTGGTTTGACATATTGCGTTGCTAGTTAATTGCTGAAGCTTCTCGCTATTTTGATTCTGGGAACAGCTTGGTTTTTATAGTGTGACATTATTTCTCTTGTTCTTTGGATGTGACTAGAGGAAGGGAGGTCAGTATAGCAGACCAGCCACACAGTGGATCTTTAGTGAACAGTTCCTATCTATCAACATCACTGAGTAGCAAGACCTCAGGTGCCATTCTTTCACCATGGGAAATATCAAAGAGCTGCATCATCTGCTGCAGCCATGACTCAGCCTTCAAACCATGGCATGGAAAGCAATTCCTATGACAGTTATGGACACAGTAGTCATTAATGTTTACACCAGGGATTATCCCAGGCTATGCCAGCTCAATGCTTAATGTGCAATCCACTATTGTATCAGGGGTCACTCAATTCCATGCCAGGAGTAACGTATTACATTCCCCAAATATGCGCAGCAGATGCATTTTCAAGGAATGCAGCTACTTTGTTGTAGCAGACAGCAAATCATGCAAGCTACAACCCATATTGTTGGCAACAATTACGACTCATTCATCCTGCACATGTCTTCTGTGTTGTTTTTGTTTCCCTAGCTAGCTCCCAATTCAGGTTAGTTTCCGGGCTTCAAGCAAGACTCATCAATCCTGCCAGTACTGTTGGCACACCAGCAATTGCAGACACAGCCTGGACAGGTAAACTTTAGTGCTGTGGGAAACTGTGTGGATTATCAGCTTGCATAAGCAAAGCTTGTACACACCTTGATATATTTCCTGATTTCTGGTCTTGGTTCAATATACTGCAATACTGCATTAAAATCCATGAAATGGAAGAGCACCGTTGACCACCAGTAACACCTTCTGCCGGAGTTCTTAGAAAACAACCGATCTAAGCAAATTTCAAGGACACCCCTCTCTCTTAATACACCAATAATGTCAGTATCATGTTCTTGCAATTGACATGCGAGTGCTTTTAAAGTAGAAGTGAAGGTGCTAGATTTCCCCTGACAGCTGTACCATTAATAAGCAGGGAGTGTTGTGCCTGGGGAAGTCTTTCATTGCTGAACCAAGGTGAGCATATGCATGCAGCCCAGGTCTTGCATGCTTCTTTTTCAGGTGAGGTCGAACATCTAGGCTGTGGAGTCTAGGTGCTGCCTGTGGATGTGCTCCAAGTGAAGGCTATAAGTATAGTTTTCTGTGGGCTCTGAAACAATGGGGAATGATTATAGACTGGATTTATCAATGTGGATATTACAATCATGCCACATGCTCTACTGAGCAGAAGAACATGAACAAGGTTTTCAACTACTCCAGTGAGAGGAACACAGCAATGATAAGAATAAAAGATTTCTTTTAATCACCTAATCTATAATCCATTGAATGGCCTAAAAGATGTTGCCCATAAAATATTTGTAACATTCACAAGACTACAAAATACGGGGGTGCTAACATCATCTTACAAATGTGTTAAGAGTTAATACTTCATAAATCCATTAAAAAAAGGTATTTTTGTACAAGTTGAAAACTGACTCATTCAAATATGCTACAGAGAAACAGTTGCTACCATCAGATTCACTTTCAGCACAAGTCCAGTTTTATGTTTTTCTGTTTCACAGTGGATTTTGCCTGAAACAGATCACTTGACTACTGAATTTACTGATTGCTTCAGTATATATATTTTAACTGGATGCTCCATATTAGATACTATTAATGTAGAGAATTGGACAAGAAACAGTCAGTAAGCAGAACCAAGTAGCATTTCTTAATCAACTTGGATATGCCTAAAAATTAGTCCTTGACTTGAGTTTTGATCAGAAATGAATTATTATGTGGGTGTACCTGCCCACACCTGATAATGTTTTCTCTTTGCTCGGAACTGTAGTTTGAAATACATCTTCAGCAGGAGCCCAGCTGTTCATGATCATTTGTTGTCTGTCATTTACTTTGACCTGAAACAGATGGAAAAAAATTCAGAATAAACAATATAAACATCATTGTTTTCAGGCTGTGCGAATTGTACGTTGACAACCTTAGTGTTGTCACCATAAAAAAGTCTAAAATAATTTCTTTATAAGTTTATGTAAAGAGTCTGAAGACATATCAATGTAAACATATAATTATAAATGCCTGTCATGATTGATCATTTGTGTCCTCCCAATCATTTAGTACAGTGCATGATATAGTTCTGAGTTCATATGAAACAGAAATGTTACAGAATTAATCTCTGGTGTGAGGAATGATTGCTTATGTTACAACAGGGAGTGGATATTAAAAATACAGATTCTTACTTTGTTGTAAAACAACCTTGGAGTATGTCTTGAGGCTATGAAAGGGCAGTATAGAAATGAAAGTGAATGAGCTCAATGTCACCGTGTTAGGTAAAGGAAATGAGTCAGGAATCCTTCTAACCTCCTTCAATTACTACGCAGTGACTCCTGCTGGAACATGCACATGTATTGGTATCAGTTTGAAAGGCAATCCTGTTGACTATGATGGTTCAATACTTTGCTGACTCTCAATAACTATGTTATGACATCAAGAATGACCCCTTGAGCAAAGTACTGGAAGGCTGCCAATGTTCCTGTAATAATACCCCAGGAAGAGTCAGTACTTCTGCTGAGTATGGAGGGCTATAGATAATTGAGTCCTATTTTCTGTGAAAAGATGTTTTGCCTTTTCATCTCTTTCAGACACGAGGGTGATGCTCTTTAGTCTAATGTAAGACCACAGTAATTCCTCTGTTTCTTATCAGAGGCATGTTTAGCACGGTGCATCTCGTTCAATTGCTGAAAAGAAAGACAGATTTTGTTGACGTATTTTGTCTTTCCTCCACCAGGACAATTCACAAGAAACACCAAAAATACCACTAATTAACAGGCCTAAGACTGTCACATTTCGCCCTGAAAAGTGCTCAGCCTACCTCACATTACCCTGGAAGGGTAAGGTAGTTCAAAAGGTTTGAGTGACAGTGGAGCTAGCTGTTCCATGCTGTTATTTTATAGTAGCAATACGCATGGTGCTTGCCACTGACACAATGCTGCTCTCAAACTGAAAATATGTTCTACCTATCACACTAATGAGTAATGTAGTGGTGTATGAATTTCAGCACCAGTATGATCCTAGATGTGTAGGTCCATCCCCTATACTGAAAGATCATGGAGAGAAATCAGAGTTAACATTTTGGATCCAGTGATCAAAGGTGACCCGAACTCTGATTTCTCTCTGCAGGTGCTGCCAGACCTGCTGAGCGTTTCCAGCAATTTCTGTTCTTGATTCTAATTTCCAGCATCAGCAGTTCTTTCGATTTTTATGTCAAATGGCATTTTGAGTGGCTGTTTGCTATGAAGTACTGACCATATCCAAATGGCCTGGTTTTGCAAAACTCAGAAACAACATCCAGTGATAGGGGGATTCTATGATAGAGCAACATTTGCTAAATAATTTTGAGTGTGCAAAGAATTAAGCTAACAACCAATTTAGGATTTGAGTCAGGCTTAAAATGTGGTGCACTCATGTTCCTGGAAGCTAGTTAAATCAATACATAGGGTCCTGTTCTTCTCACAGAATAAACATTCTGCCCCTTTTCAACTTTAAAAGTTAGATGTCAACCATTGTCTGGTTCATTTCTCAGGGCAATGAATCAAGAGTAAACCTGCTTGATTTAAAATTTCAATCTTGACAGATATCTGTCAGTTATAATTAACTTGTACATTCTCCATGGCAATAATTCTACAGATTGGAGACCACTTGCCAACCAGTCAGTACTGTCCTCTCATACAGTATAAATATATTGTTTCTTTGTGAAAATTCTTGAGTTATCCTAATGAAAAGCTTTGACAAAATGTGTCTTGATAAAATCTCGACTGAAGTTCTGAATTACCAAATGATTGTTAGTAAATTGACTCCATCAAGTTGGCCCTGGCTGAGTTCATACTGAACTTTACAGAAGATTTTCAGTGAGGCTGTAATTTGAACAGGGGTTTCCTGAATGGGAAATCATCCCTACAGCTCATCCTTTCCCACCATTCTAGAACCATATATGATGGTTGATGCTGGTCGTGTTAGCATGATCCAGGCTGAACTGGCAAAAGATGGCAAATGAACATTAAATTTAAAATATCAATGATTTACATTCACAATGCTATTCATCTCAAAGGAAAAAAATAAGTTGAAAGCCAAATGAAACAGGAAGAATTAAGACCTGGAGTTTCACAGAGTAAACATCAGTAAAATTCATTTATAACAGCTAAAGCAAGTTCAGAAGTAATGCAGTGGCTATGAAGCACTTTAGGACATGATGTAGAATTGAAATCGGATATATAAATGCAAGTTCTTTCTGTCAATAAGATATAATAAAATCTGCCGATAATCACTAATTTTGATTCAATATCTGGTCTGCCTGCAATAAGCATCTTCAATTAAATCTATGAATGTTTGCAATTAGCATCTAATGCTCATCGTCTATGCTGAAGAATAAAATTCAGGACATTTTTAAAAATATCAGACTTATTATTTCTTAAGGTTGAGTAATTTCTAAAAAAAGGACGATCAAGGCTTTTCAATATTTTTTTAAGAACTGAGCCTGAGCATTTTTTACTAATACTGAAAAGGTACTTTCCTAGCTCCCCATCTGAGGTAATTTTCCTAAACATTCCATCTGAGATGGTTTTCCAAGCCCCAGTTCTGAGCCCCACCTCCCTTTATTCCTTCTCTATTCTTCTTTATTCATTCTCCCTTTATTCCTTCTCTTTCTTTAATCTGCTAAACCCTCTTTAGTTTCCTTTCTCCTCCATCACTCACTTCCCACTTCCACCTTGCTCTGCCCCTATATTTTCATCCTCTCACCCCTACCTCTCAACAACCTCCTCCATATCTGCTTCACTCCTATTATCCTGTCCCAAATTATAAACTTTAAAATTTTAATACATTTCAAAGAAGGAAGTGAAAGCTCATATGTACCGTGTCTCCATTCAATGATGTGGAGGTGGCAGTGTTGGACTGGAGGGGGCAGAGTCGGAAGTCACACAACACCAGGTTATAGTCCAACAAGTTTATTTGACATCACAAGCTTTGTGACTTCACCTGACGAAGGAGCAGTGGTCCAAAAGCTTGTGATTTAAAATAAACCTGTTGGATGATAACCTGGTGTCATGTAATTTCTGACTGTCCATTTGATGAGTGCCGCAAGAGTTATTGTGAATTACTTGCAGATGGTGCACTAAGCCACTAGATGGCACAACTGCATCAAAGTGGAAGTAAGGCCTATTTTCAGAAAACAAGGCGTAGAGCTGGATGAACACAGCAGGCCAAGC